GTAGCCATAGGATAAAGTTTAACAAAGCTGCAATGGTTGTACAGATGAGGAGAAAGTATTCCGATCTCAATGATAACAGTTTGTTTCTTCAAAATCCCTCAAAGATGCCACAAAAGCAAGCCTAGCATGTTTAGATCCTAAAAGTCTCCAGCACCCATACTCATGACTTCTGAGATAATTAAATGTGTATAGTTTGAGGTTAATATATAATGCATATTATTTATTATATTTATTATTTATATATTTTATTTATAATATATAAATTATATGTAAAATACAAAACATGAATAAATATATTTTGTTAATTAGCATGGTTAAAATGTGAGTAAATTTTATTCTGTTTGTACATAATAGGCTTTGCTATTATGGGAAGTTTTCCTATCATGGGAAGTTTCAGGGACTGAAGTGATGCCATGATCAAACTAAGAGAAACTGTTAAATACCATGTTATGAGGGATAGAAATAGCAACCACAATTGTGAACTTGCGTGATGTAAAAATAGTGACAAACTTAGTGCCTTTGAGCAGTTGTAGGAACATGTAACTCAGATGCAAACAGAATCAAATCCAAACCTAATACAGTATATAACAATAGAGAACAATTAGGATAGAATTGGGGAAGAATTTGGAATTACACATCTTCAAATATAATTAAAGATTACAAATAGAAATATGACTAAAGAATTTTCACCTGTGTAAGTGAACAACTAGTTATTCAGTGACTATAATATAAAATTACTGAACAGAAAGGTTATACCTAATTAGAGAAATAGATAGCATATTCCTGTTCATGGTAATATTAAATAATAGTATAAAAAGAGTGATTATTTTATAGGTAAACTATATGAAATTTTGCAATACATGTGGGGAGCAGCTCGGACTAGACTAAGTTACTGGAATTAAGACTTATTCTATGCATCTGCTCTCCTGTGGGGAGCAATCCGGACTAGACTAAGTTACTCGAATTAAGACTTATTCTATGCATCTGCTCTCCCACAGTGTGGCGTTGGGAGAGAAGTAAACAGCTTCTACACAGGTGCCTCCAGTTCAACCAATAAACTGTAGGACTTGCTCCTGATTGGAGGAGAGCGGCATGCTCAGCGTGTGGGCAGCCGAGTTGGGATTGGCGGAGGAGGACTATAAAGGAGGAGAGAGACGGCATGCATCGGGAACATCTATGGGGAACATCTAGCTGAAGGAACACCCGTGCAGCCCCCCAGAGAACCGGCCGGCGGAGTGCCGCTCCCCTGCGGAAGTGGGGAATGCGGCCAGGGGGAACTGCCCTTCCACGGAGGTGGAAGGGATAGTAGCCAACCCGGGAAGAACCAGCAGCAAACCCGGGGAGGGCCGAGCAGAAGAAAGAACAGCGCAGGGTCCTGTGTTGCTCCTCCACGAAGAGGGGGAGCGACATAATGGTGCCGTGACTCGGATATGAAGCCTAGGCAGGGCTTAGTGTCGTTCCCCCATGAAGACGGGGAGCGACAATACAGACTGAAATTTCTAAAAGGGGAACAAAAAATAGTTTCACCAAATATGTAGAGTATGTAATGAAACATATGTGTTAGATGACTATCTGTCAAGGAGATAGAATTTATTGCAATTCAAATGTTATTGACAGATGTAAGCAAAAACAGTTGGATATATTTGTCCCTAACAATATTTTAATGTTACAATAGTATTTTTGTAATTTGCTGGTTACATATGTTCCTTCCAACAAATACTTCATAATCCAGTTACTGTAGGAATGATATTGCTACATAATTCATTGATCTGCACAGGAAATATATTGGACCATATCACAAAAATTGAAACTACAACTTCAGACTACCAAGCATCACATCTTGATTTTGAATTATGTATAAGTTAGGGAAACCAAAACAAGAATTTAAAAATATGTCTCAAATTGTAAAGCACTTAGAAAAACAAGCAAAAACTATTTAACAATTCATAAAACTTTTAAATGATGGACAATTCTTTTTAAATTTTATTTGAAAGGTCGGGTGGAGGAGACAAACTGTATCTTCCAAGTGCTAGCTCACTCCTCAAATGCCTACAACAGTTGGGACTGGGTCAGACTGAAGCAAAATCCTTGGACTGTATCCAGTTCTCCAAAGTGGGTAGCAAGGACTCAAGGACATGAACCATCACTCCCTACCTCCCAGAGTATCTATTAGCAGGATGCTGAAATCAGAAGCAGAGCCAGGATCAATCCTAGGCACTGGGACTTGGGATGCAGGCATCCCAAACAAGTTCTTAACCACTTGCCAAATGCCTGTCTCTAAATGACAGTTTTTATGTGGAGTTACTCAAGAGATCTGCCTTACTATGCATAGTGGTATGCCACTTACAAAGGATAATCACTTAAAGTGTATCTTAAGTTTTGAAGTTCATAATATCAACACTTTAATGTGTATATTACTCTGAGATTATTGGATACATAGAAAATTTAAAACTGCACAAAGAAGAAACACAACTGTGATGCAAATTTTATCAAATCTCTGGTACTATAGCAAAATCTGAAGGGAAAATGATGGTAGTTAAAATGAGTTTATTCTACCTTATTAAATTGTTTAGAATATAACAATTCACACGTCCTAAATATACTCTCAAGAACAAACACAGGGAAGATTAGCAGAAAATTATAAAGAACAAAATGTAAGAGTACCCCTAGAAGGAACTATCAACAAACAAAATGGCATAGAAAGCCTGAGAAAGAATTAAGAGAGAATTCAGGAACAGGCAGTTAACCTAGCAGTTAAGATGCTCGTGTCCCACATTAAGAGTGCTTGAGTTCAATGTCTGAATCTGGCTTCTGAATCCAGCTTCCTACCAATGCAGACTCTGGGAGTCAGTGGTGATGGTTCAAGTAACTGGATTCCTGCCACTCAACTAAAGACCTCAGTAATGTTTCTGGCTCCCAGGTTTAGCCCTGTCCCAAACCCAGCTATTTGGGTATTTGGGGAGTGAACCAATAAAAGGAATGTGTTTATTATTCTGGATAAAAACTATTGGGAAAGAAACACTGATGAAGTTTGATACCAGCTAGTTATCCAGTAATCCTGCACTGAATTTATTTGAACCCCAGTTCACTTAATAACCAGTGTTTAAAGATGTTGTCCCTGATAAGATTTGTCAAGACCGATGGATACATTTGAGGGGAGTACAATGATATGGATCAATGGTGAGGCCTTATCCTGTCTTGGAAGTTATTCATGCTCAGTGAAATTAAAGTGAGTCAAAGATACAACAGAATCTTTAAATAAAGACTGGGAGATTTCTGGCTCCTTATAGGGTATTTAATTTGGATTGGAGAAATTAAACAATTTTGGTAATCCTGTTGCACCTACCCCTGGATAATCTGCTTTCTGATTGCTTCAGCATGATTTTATTTATTTATTTTTTAGCAAACATTCAGATTACATGTATTTAATTTAATGGTGGCCACAAATATGTTTGTATGACGGTTCTACAAATATCCACAAGATTAAATTATTAAATTTTTGAAAGAGGATACTAGCAAAAGTTTGTACCAGAATTGGCCTCTAGATGTTTTAATTAATTTCTCAACTTTTCATCTATGTTTAAGTTTACTAAACAATGCTCCTTACCTCAGTTTCTTTAAAAACTTACCAAGCTTTTTGCTTTTACCATGCACTGCCGTGATTTTCTAAAGCATACTCTGATAAAAGATTCTCATTTCAAAACTTCTAACATGTTGATCAGAGGAAAAAAAAAGGCTAGATTCTTTTTTTCCTCTTTTTTTATTATAAACACTTTTATTTAGTGAATATAATTTTCCAAAATACAGTTTATGGATTACAATGCTTCTCCCCCCATAATTTCCCTCCCACTCGCACCCCTCCCATCTCCCGCTCCCTCTCCCATTCCATTCACATCAAGATTCATTTTCAATTATCTTTATATACAGAAGATCGCTTTAGTATATATTAAGTAAAGATTTCATCAGTTTCCGCCACACAGAACATAAAGTGTAAAATACTGTTTGAGTACTAGTTATAGTATTAATTCACATTGGAAAACACATTAAGGACAGAGATCCCACATGAGGAGTAAGTACACAGTGACTCCTGTTGTTGAATTTACAATTTGACACTCTTGTTTATGGAGTCAGAAATCTCCCTAGGCTCTAGTCATGAGTTTCCAAGGCTATGGAAGCCTCTTGAGCTCGCTGACTTCGATCTTATTTAGACAAGGTCATAGTCAAAGTGGAAGTTCTCTCCTCCCTTCAAAGAAAGGTACCTCCTCCTTTGATGGCTAATTCTTTCTACTGGGATCTCACTCACGGATATCTTTCATTTAGGTCCTCTTTTTTTGCCAAAGTGTCTTGGCTTTCCATGCCTAAAATACTCTCATGGGCTCTTCAGCCAGATCCGAATGCCTTAAGGGCTGATTCTGAGGCCAGAGTGCTGTTTGGGACATCTGCCATTCTATGAGTCTGCTGTGTATCCCACTTCCCATGTTGGATCGTTCTCTCCCTTTTTATTCTATCAGTTAGTATTTGCAGACAAGACTAGTGTCTGTGAAAAATGGCTAGATTCTTTCACAAAAATTCAGAATTTATAACCCAGCTACTACTTACATTTTTCTCAAACTATTAAAAAATGCTTCATTCATATTCTACTCCTTTTATAAGAGGTTTTTCCAACCAAAAAGGTATTTGCTTCATTGATTTTTGCTCATGGTCTTGCCTTGCCTGGAAAACTTTTCCATCACTCCCCATTGTCCACTTGGGAAACTTTAATTCAACCTTGAAGACCAAGTACAAACATCATTGCTTTTCCATAATTCCATTTCTTTTTTTTTTCTTTTACTCCCTTTCCTCTTTGGGATCACTATTTCTCAACATACCTGTATCATTAGAGCTAATATCTTGGATTTTTTCACTGTGTATTTCAGAATGTCCAAATGAAGATAAATGTGCCATAACAACTTAGAGTTCAGTGGCTGTCTTTAATGGGAAATGTGCAGGTAGGACATTTTCCAAAAATTTTCCAAGACTGCCTTTTTTAAAAGAAAGTTTTTATTTAATAATTATGAATTTCATAGGTATAGTTTTTGGATTATAGCAGTTCTTCTGCCCATGGCTGCCCTCTCACCTCAACTCATAGCCCACCTCCTACTCCCTCTCCCATCCCATTCTTCATTAAGATTGATTTTTAATTATCTTTATACAAAAAAAGATCAACTCTAGACTAAGCAAAGATTTCAACAGTTTGCACCCACACAGACACACAAAGTATAAAGTACTGTTTAAAGACTAGTTTTCCATTAATTCTCATAGTACAACTCATTGAGGACAAATGTCCTACTTGGGGAGCAAGTGTACAGTGACTCCTCTTGTTGATTTAACAATTGATGCTCTTACTTATGATGTCAGTGATCACCTGAGGCTCTTGTCATGAACTGCCAAGGCTATGTAAGCCTCTTGAGTCCACAGACTCCAACATTATTTGCATTTTAAGGTGATTACATTAACAGAGAATATTGGTGAATGATTAACTTACTTTTGGCAATGAGTGAGTGACCTACTTGATGGGAATATTATCAGAAAATATCTACTTTTAATGAGCTTCATTTACCTAAAATTGGAAGTTTTATGACTTGTTGGAACCATCTCTCATGGAGTAAGTAAATTCATTTACAGTACACATTTTCAGATAACTCTGAGGTTGATATTTATGGATAATTGTAGAAGTACAACTGAAAGACTGTTAAAATTGTGCTCAGAAGTTTGATATTAGGATATATAAATTGCCCTTGATTCATGAGCTAGAGTAAAATCATGGATAGTATGATATTTGGTTTCTATATTCAGAATTTCTGTTGGCCTCAATATATTCATTAAAGGTAGAGTTTAATTATGAATGATGGCTGTTTCACTGATAGAGATAACTTGAAAATTTAGCCAAAGGATATTAATGCTTCATGTATGAAAAATTCTCAAAAGAAAATACTTTAAACATGTTCCATTCTTGTGTATGTTCTCAGACTTGATAAAATTTCCTCTGTGATAGAAATCCAAGATTCAATAATTTGCTTAGCATTGAAACTTGGAAGTTGAATAAATTGATAGATAAACACCATTAAATGTCAATCTGTATGTCAGCATACCAAAATTATGTGACTACATTAGATGAAGTATAATACAGAATGAATATGTATTTTAGTAAGTATAATGCAGAATGACATCAATTGTTCTTAATATCACCTTGATGATTCTTAGGTTCCCTAAATTGCACAATGTGCATCTCAATATAAATTTTTATTTTTAAAAAATGATTTACTTATTTGAAAAGCAAAGTGACAGAGAGAGAGTGAGAGAAACAGAGAAAGACATATTCTTTCTGTTAATTCACACCCTCAGATAACCTCATTAATCTTAGTTGGGCCAGATAGAAGCTAGAAGCCTAGAACCCCATCTGGGTCTCCCACGAGGGTGACAGGTGCACAAACACTTTGGCTATTGTTTACTGCTTTCCCAGCATATTAGCAGGGAGCTGCCTCTGAAGCAGAGCAACTGGGACACGAACAGGAGCTCTGATATGGGATGTTAGCATTGCAACTGGCACTTAACCCACTGCACAACAATGCTGGCCACCAATTTTTTTCTTTTTAATGAATGAATGACCTATTTGAGGACTTATCATGGAAAAATGGGCACTTTCTCCTGAGTATTCATTTAAATAATGTTCAGATATTTTTGACTCATGATTGCTGTCTCAGCAGTACTATATTCTTTAAGTCTAACTATTGGTTATTGGTATATTATATTATATTGGTATATATTGGTATACAGTTGGTATATTACTCCTACCATAATATTTCTGCATTGCTGTGGTTTTATGGTATATGTGGGTCATTGGTAAGGACTCACAATATAAAAACAATGGGTGTCCTTCACAGATTTAAAATTCCTGTATATGGTTTGCTCCAGACATATGAAAATAAGTACAGTTCCAAGAGGCTTGGCATCTTAATTTTAGATCTGGAGTTTCATGTGGCTTCATGAGTATCATTTTATGCTAGTTTATAAGTAATGAATCATAGCAAAAGTCACTGCTATGGCTCCTTGAAGGGATGGACCAAGAAAGAGCCATGACTGCATGACACCTAGTCTCTAAGCACAAAGAAATATGTAAACTTTGTCCATGTATGTGAATTTATAATCCACTCCACTTACCTTAAAAGGGGGCATTTTTGTAAAAGTGTTCACATGAGGGAACTTCAAAAAGTTTACAAAAGAATATAAATAAGATAATTGAAATTTTCCATAAACTTTTTTAAAAGTCCCCTCGTATCAGTCCATTAACGAACTGTAAGCATGAGATATAACCCCATGAGAGGAATATGATTTGGTTTGGACACCTCTCCTAATCTTATCCTCTTAGATTAAACAAAAACTAAGGAGAATAAGGGCCCTTTTGCCTTGTGGCACATTATACTATATCATTATCCTACAGAGAATATATCCGAACTATATTTCACTTTAGCATAATGAATTAATAAAGACCTACTAGTAGACATTCAGATTGGAGTGTATGTATATATGGAAAATATGAGAAGTCTTTATATTGTCTTGAATAGAGATGATTGCATAAAAATAATACCCAATAAAATTAATCTGAGCCCTAGACTTATTGATAATTATAGAGCCAAAAGTTGGAACTGATTGTAGAATAATTTTATTTTGGGCATAAGAATATGAAATCTTTTATGGGAAACTAATATTTTACAGTCCTGTTGATGCATTTCAAATTGAACAACTCATTCTGTCAGGTTTATTTCAGTGACCTTTAGTATGTCATATTAAGAAAACATTTTGGGAAACCTTTAATCTCATTGTATCTTTCAGAAAAATGGACAAACAATAGAAAAACCATTCATTGAAAAGAGGTGAGTGGCTCCCATTAGTGACAGATGCAATCCAAGAGATATTGGGATTAGAGAATATTTACCTTAAGGCAATTATGTTTCACATTCAGGCAACCAGACATTGGTAAGTCTTCTGAAATGGCTTACAGACTTACTTGATGTATTACTGTGACAAAAACCATTGCTTTTCACCTGAATGTGATAGAATTAAAACTTGAGTGAAGCTTGTATTCACTGGTACCCAGTAAAATGCTTGACATTTATTTTGATCTTCATGTATCAATAGAATTTTCAATAACATTATTGTGAATTTCTAAAGGTGTTATGTAACTTGGGGAGAGATGAAACTTCCATAACAAAAAGATCCTATTAATTAAAATGAAAATATTAGAATCAGTGTTTTTTATAAAACACTATTGAATAATTTGAAGACCCAATTATTATTAGAATTTCATGTTTGGATATTATATAGCTTCAATATTTTCAAGATAATGAAACCATATAGTATGAATTCAACAAATCCATTATTTCTGAAAGGGCCACTGAGATGACTAGGACCAAAACTAACATAATATTGTCCTGTTAGAGATACTACTCTTTTATGAGTCTTGTAATATTAGATTACAGCCTTCATGGAAAATTCACTGTTCCTGAAATTTCATTGAAATACAATTGAGACACTATCTAACAATACAAAATATGCAGGGCACTATAGCTAGCAAGGGAGCAGCCACACATGCTTCTACCAATTCGCAGGTGAATGGGTGTGCCTTCACTGACCAACCAAACTAACAGGGGTCACGACTTGGGAAGCTCGCCAGGGTCAGTGGGGACAGTGAGAGGGTTGAGGGAGCACACAAGGAAGGAGTTTGCCCTTAACCAGCTGTTGCTATCTGTTCATACCTGTCCCCCTTCCTGTCCCACAGATAATGTCACTAGAGGAAGCCCCCGTGGGTTCCACTGATTTGGGGCTAAAGGGAATGGTCAAGTCCCCAGCAGTCCATGAGCTGGTGCTGCCAACAGTGTTGGAGAAGGAAACGTCCAGGACTGCCTGTGGTAAGACAATCCATCTGTGCCCTAGAGGTGAGATGGCATGAGGAAGTAACCTAGGTGTAGTTCCAGAGCTTGGGTTTATGATGAGACCTTATACTGTCTTGAAAAGAGATGATGACTTAAAAATCATGCTCAATAGGATTACGCTGAGGCCCAGCCTAGTGACAGTGGTACAAGAGGACCCTGGCATTTCCACTTGCCTCCCAAGGGAGGAGACCTTGGGACTGGAGACTTGGAGGCCCCCTAGGCCAGGATACAGTACACAGGCAGGAACGCCTGCTAGTGCAGGATATACCCAGGCTCCATCTTCCTTGGGCTTTGCTTTTACTCCCTGATGGCTGAGATACAGCACTGCCCTTTAGGCTCATTCCTTAGCTCCTTTGTCTCCTGTTTTTCAGTGAGTTAAGCTGTCCAGTAGCAGGGTTACAAGTAAGTGGATGAAAAGAATCATGAGGCATGTGCTGGGGAACAGAGTATCTGAGCAGACACTCTGGCAGTTTCCCTGAGCTGTGTTCCATTGGGCTCTGAGGTCCAGAATGACTTGCCTGGAACCCTGGCCTAATGTAAAGGCTAAGCAAGGAATGGAAACAGATCCTGGTAGAAGGTTCATGTGAGGCCAGTGCTGCCACTCAGCCTAGAAGGGACTGACTTACTGTTGTGACCAGAAGTGGGTGGACACTGAGGATCAGACTTCTGTGGGGGCAACTCTCAGATTCCATAAAAGTCCCAGGCCAAAGACCACACTGTGACACTGAGGGAGGTTTGCCAAGCCAGCTGGCTTTGCAGGTACATGACAGTCTGGAAGTTTCATGTAGGTTATAGGGCCAATGGATTCTACCATGCAAGGATGCAGGAGTCAGGTCAAGGGAGATGACATCTGGGCCTTAGCACCTGTATAGTGGTGCCCAGCACACCATATCCCCGCTACTTGCCTCATCCAGAGCTGACTTTCCCTTGCCACATGGATGGGCTATGGACTGAGTTGAGCCCAGCAAGGGTACCAGTGCCCCTCCTGGGACCAAGTTTCTGCTCCTCCGCAGAGGCACCAAGGCCCCATGGAAGGAGTGGACCATGGTCCAATCCAATGCCCATACCCTTTGGGATGTGTATGGGACTGATGTGAGCAGTGAACATAGGAGGAAGATGTCCCAAACGGGCACACCCTGAGGTCTCAGGATCCACCGTGTTCATACAACCTTCTCCTGAGCTCCTAGACATATTCAATGACCCCATGTGGGTAGGCCAGGACCCCTGGGAGCCTCCTTGGGTATTTCTTGTGGGACTGGAACTCTAATGCTTAGGGCCAGGCTGATGCTTGTTTGTCCATTCCAGCTTCCTGTCAGGACTAGGATATCAAGTGTAGGAAAGAGTGGTGGGGAGAAGTGCTCTTGTCAGGACAATCCTGCTCAAGTGTCCCTTTCTGTCCTAGTGACCAAGAGGCCCAGGAGATTGCTGGCAGGATGGGCAGAGACTACCTGAGTCCACAACACATAGAGAGGCAGACTCCTGGAAAGCCTCACTAGGCCTACAGGACCAACTCATGCACTGGAACCAGTGTACCCTGGTTTCCCATGATGCCTGTTCACACCAACACCCTCTCATTCCTATTTCACGGATGATATCAGCAGAGGAAGCCCCCATGTGGTCAAGTAACCTATAGGCAAGAGCTGTGGTCAGGGTCCCAGCAGCTCATGAACTGGTGTTGCCAGCCCACTGGAGAAGGAAAACTCTGAGATTGCCCAAGGTAAGCCAATACATCCTGGCCCTACAGGTGGGATGGTTCCAAGGTTTTCCCGTGCTGTGGTTCCTGAGTTGGGTCAGTGATGAGACCTCATACTATCTTGAAGAGAGATGATGACTTAAAAATCATGCTCAATAGGATTACGCTGAGGCCCAACCTAGTAAAGGTGGTACAAGAGGACACCAGGGTCTCCACATGCTCTCCAGGGCAAGAGACCCTGGAGAGTATAGATCTAAAAGTGCCCAGGCCGGGAAACCTTCCCCAGGCAGTAGCAGCTGCTCCTGCAGGATCCACCCAAGCTCCTTTCACTTTGGCCTTGGTGTGTGCTCCCTACTCTCCCAGGGGCGGGGCCTTACTGGGAGTTCCTTCTTCAGTTCCTTTCATCTCCTTGTGTCTTTCAGTGAAAGGTGCTGCCAGCAGTTCACTCTTGGGACCCTGAGCCCAGGTGAGTGGATGGCAAGGATCACTGGCCCTCTGCAAGGGAGCTGGGTATCAGGGTGGGTCGCTCTCTTAAATCCAGAGTAGTGGACCCATGGGGACACAGGAAGGCTGCCTCAGGCTGTGCTACTATGTGAGATGTGCCCCCTTTGGGCTCTGAGGTCCAGAACCCTTTGCCTGAACTCCAGGCCTGGTTCAAGAGCCAACTGAGGGAGGCAGTGGTTCTTTAGGGAGGGTTCATATGGGCCAATGCCCCCATTTGTCCTAGTTGGGTTGCAGCACCTCTGTGTTGCCTTGCTGTTGTGGCCATAAAGTGGGATTGGGACTCTGTTGGGAACAGGATTCAGATTTGGTAGGAGGCCCGGGCTGAGAACTGCACCAAGGCATTGAGGGAGGTTTGTCAGGGAAACAGCTCTGCAGGTTCCTGACAGTCTGGGATTTTAAAGTGGGTGGCAAGGCCACTGGAGGCATAACTAAGAACATTCAGGGGTGCCTAGTCAAGGTGCCTAGTCAAGTCATGCAGGATGGCACCAAGCATGCCCCATCCTATGTGTTCCTCATCAGGGAATAGCATATGGGGGACACATGGGTTGACTTCAAAATGAGTTAAACACAGCAAAAATGTTGGGGCTCCCTACCAGGCCTAGGGTCCTGCTCCTCTGTTCCTCCATGGGAGGCACCAGGGCCCATGGGAAGAGTGGGCCATGATCCAGCTCAATGCCCATACCCAATATTTGGGATATTTATGTTACTGAGGTTGGCAGAGACTGTAGCAGAAATATGTGACCTGAGTGCAGAGCCTGAGCGCAAAGGATCAGGTGTCTGCTGGCAACCTGACCTGAGCGCCCAGGCCTAGAAGGGATGCTATGTTGGTAGGCCTGGGCTCTACTGGGGACTCATGTGCACCTCACACCACTGGTCCTCTGATGCCAAGACTGTGCCAGTGCTTGCATATCCACCCTGGATACTGCACAAGACTGGTACCTCTGGGAAAGGAATGAATTGTAGGGGTATTTGCTTCTGGCAAGATGACCTGGCCCAACTTGACCTCTCTAAAAAAGTTACCAACAGGCTCAACAGTTTGAGGGTGAGGTAGATAGGACTTGTCTGACCCACCATTTCTATAAGGGTAATTTCCTGGGAATCCTCGCCTAGTGTGATAGGGCAGATCACGCTCTGAAACCAGTGCACCCTAGCCTGCCCCATCTGTTAGTTCATATCCACAACTCCCTGTCCCACAGATGATGTCAACAGAGGAAGCACTTGCAGTCCAGTGCACTGGAAGCAAGGGCTGTGCTTCACTACAATACAAGCCAGGAGCTGGTGGTGCCAGCCCCACTGGCAAAGGAAAAATCCTTGAAGACCCTAGGTAAGCCAATCCATAGGAGCCCTTCATGAAGGTGGAACGGCGCATAGGTTTTCCTGTGCTGTGGTTCTTGTGTTGGGTCGATGATGAGACCTCATATTGTCTTGAAGAGAGGTGATGACTTAAAAATCATACTCAGTAGGATTACGCTGAGGCCCAGCCTAGTGACAGTGGTGTGTGATGACCCCAGAATTCCCCTGCCATCCAGGGGAAAAGATCCTGGATACTGGAGACCTGGAGGCCCTCTAGGCCAGGACACAGTCTGCAGGTAGGAGCACCTGCTAGTGCAAGATGTACCCAAGCTCCATCTTCCTTGGGCTTGATGTATACCCCCAACTGTGGCCTCCTTCCTCAGCTCCTATATACCCTTCTGTCTTTCAATGAGAAAAGTAGCCTGGCACCAGAGCCTTTCAACCCAGGTCACAGGTGAGTGGATGTTGGTGGAATGGGGACTGTGTGGGGCAGCAGGGATTCCTCATGGGTCTCCTGACACCAACTTCAGAGATGGACCCACGGAGACACAGGAAGGCAGCCTCAGGCAATGCCCCTGAGTGAAGTTTGCCCTGAACACCTCTCCTGAACCTTATTGAACCTTTGCCCTTCAGTGGGTCTCAGGCAAGGAGTGTAAATGCTTCATGAGGGAGGGTGCATGTGGGGTCAGGCTGCCACTTGGCCTCAGTGGGCCTCAGAATTTCTGGTTTGCCTTACTGGTGTGGCCAGAAGGGTAAAGACCCTGGAGAACCTGACTCTTTGCAGGGGTAGGTTTTAGATTGGTGGAAGCCTGAAAAAAAATCACTACAAGTCAGGAAGGGTGATTTGGAGGAGCAGATACTATGCAAGCGACTTTCAGCCTGGGAGCAAGGCCACTGGAGCGTAGGTTTCTGGGATGCTAGGGCTGGTGCTCATTCAGTTGGTACTGGCAGAAATGACAAAACACCTGTAGGGTGGTGTCAGGCATGCCCATGGCTGCCAGTTTCCTAGTCCCAACATCCATCTCTGATGCATGCCTTATCCAGGGACTGGCTGTCCCTTCACACATGGGTGGGCTTCAGACTGAGATGAGCCCAGTAAGTAAGCCAGGGCCAGTCCTGGTCCCAGGCTGTTGCCCCTCTGTGGGAAGAATCTTGGCCCCAAAAGAGAAGTGTGCGGTAATCCAGCCTGATGCCCATGCCCCAACTTTGGAATGTGTACAGAACTGAGGTGGACAGTGACCATAGGATGATGGTGTCTCCTTGGGGTGGAGCTTGAGCTCCCAGCATCCAGTGTGTTTATGCAGCCTGTACCTGAGCGAGCACCTGGGCCTATATGGCAACACCATGTTGGTTGCTCAGGGCCCAGTGGGGGCTTCCTTGGGTATGTCTCTTGGAACTGGAATTCTGATGCTTAGGCCAGACCATTGCTTGCTTGTCCAGTACAGTTACAGGCCAGAACAAGATTCTCATGTGCAGGAAGATTTAGTAAGGGAGGCTACTTCCTTCAGATGAATCCTGCTTGATTTTCCCCACCCATTGTTCCTATGGGGATGGGCTCCCAGAAAACCTCACTTGGGCCAATGGGGCCAGCATGCTCTGAATCCAGTGACTCCTAACCTGCTCCTCCTGTCTGTTCACACACATTCACCTCCCTGTCCCATAGATGTCATACTAAAGAAAGTCCCTATGGGGTCCAGTGCCCCTTAGGCAAGGATTTGGCCAAGGCCCAGCACCCCATAAGCTGGTGCTGCCAGCCCTGTTGGAGAAGGCAATGACCAGTACTGCCCATAGTAAGCCAATTCATTCAGAACCAGGAGTTCGGATGGCTCATTGACCTTCCTGTGTGGTGGTTCCAGGGGTTGGGTCAACAATGAGACCTCATACTGTCTCAAAGAGAGATGATAACTCAAAAATCATGCTCATTAGCATTATTCTGAGGCCTAGCCTAGTGAAAGTAGTGAAGAGAACCTGGTAGTAACCAGGTGCCTACCAGGGAATGAGACCCTGGGCACTAGAGAAACGGAAGTCCCCCAGGCCGGGATGTGATCCACAGGCAGGAGCGACTGGTCTTTCAGGATGCACCAAAGCTCCATGTTCCGTGGGCTTTGTATGTGCTACCCACTGGCCAAGTTGGTGGGGACACAGCGGGGCTCCTCCCTCAGCTCCTTTCTGCCCCTCTGTCTTTCATAAGTAAGAATAGCCTGGTGAAGCAGCCTGTCAACTTGCATCACAGGTGAGTGGATGGTGGTGGTAATGGGGCCTATGTAGGGCAGCAGGGCTTCTGTGTAGGTCACCAGACGTGAACCTCAGGGGTCACCCATGGAGACACAGAAAGACAGCCTTGGACAGTGATCCTGAGTGCCTCTGGGCTATGAGGTACAAGATGCCTTACATGAACCCTGCCTTGTGTGGGAGCTCAGGAAAGGAATCAAAGTGTTTCCTGAAGGAAGTTTCACATGGGGCTAGTGTGTGGCGCAGCTGAAGTGGGCCTCAGCAGCTCTGGGTTGCCTTGCATGTGTGGCCATAAGTGGGCAGACCTCGGGAACCAACCTCAGAGAAGGGGAGCAACTTTTAGATTTGGTGGAGGGCCCGAGCTGAAGATCACACCAAGGAGGGTGTTTTTGGAAGGGCAGAGATTCTGCAGGTGGCTGTTATCCTGGGAGCTTCACGTAGGTTACAGTGTAACTGGAGCCTAGGACATAGTGATGATCAGTCCGGTGTCCATTCAGGAGGTGTGAATACATGTGCTGCGGCACATTCATGGTGGTGCCAGGCACACGATCCCCCCTGTTTACCTGGTCCAGGGATGGTGTTCTCAGGCCACATGGGTGGCCTCAGACTAATTGAATCCAGCAAGCCCCTCTAGCTCTGGACTCCCATTTCTCCATGGGAGGCACCAAGTTCCCACAGTAGGACTGGAGTATGGTCTAACCTAATGCGCATACCCCATCTTTGGGATGTGTACAGGCCTGAGTTGGGCAGCAACCACAGGATGCTGGTGTATCTGAGAAGCACAGCATGAATTCTGGGGATATAGTGTGTACACATAGCCTAGACCTGAGCACTCAGGCCTGGTTGGAATACCATGTTGTTAACCCCAGGGTCCCACAGAGGCCTCTTTGGGTATCTCATTCAACCAATCCTCAAGCCAAAACTTTGCCAGTGCTTGGTTGTGCAGCCCATGTCCCTGATGGAACCTGAGTGTTGGGGTTAGGATGGAGCAGTAGAGGATGCTGGCCCCAAACCAGGGGGCCCAGTAGTTCTCAGGTAAAGTGGGCAGAGCTAGCCAATCCCACCATGCCTACAGGTGTGGGTTCCTAGGAGGATTCACATGGGCCAGTAGTGCCAAGCACACTCTGGAACAAGAGTTCTTACAGTGTTCCTTTGATGTCTGTTCATACGTGCCCCCTCCTGGCTCCACAGATGATATCAACAGAACAGCCACAATGGGTACTGGTTTCCATGGCCAAGAGATTTGGTCAAGGCCAAGGCAGCGCATGGTTTGATGCTGCCATCCCTGTTGGACAAGGCAACAGACTGCCAGAAGTAAGCCAGTCCATTTAAGCTCTTGAGGTTGCATGATAACATGGGATTCCCATGGAATGATCCCTTAAAAATCATGCTCAATAGGATTAAGCCCAGCCTAGTGACAGTGGTTCAAGAGGACCCCAGGTTCCACATGTGCTTTCTAGTGGTGGAAAATCTGGTTACTGGAGACCTTGAGGCCCAGAGGCCAGGAGGCAATGCCCAGGCAGGAATGGCTGATCCTATAGGATCCAACCATGTTTCAGTACACCTCCTGGGACCAGGCTCACAATCCTCAACAGAAAGCACCAAGACCAAACGGTAGAGTTGTCCATGGTCCAGGCTTTTGTTGCTACACCATCTTTGGGGTGTGTATAGTACTGCAGTTGGAAGCAACCATACAATCAAAGTGTTCCCAGGTGGCATAGCCTGAACTCCAAGAATCCACAGTGCTCATGCAACCTGTACCCAAAGTGTCAGGCTTGTACAGCAACCCCGTGTTCGTAGGTCCAGGGCCCTACCGGTGTCTCCTAGTGTAGATCCTGTGAGGTTGATCTTCTGATACTTAGGCTAGGCCATTGCTTCCTTGTTCATAATGGTTTCAAATCAGGAGCAAGGTTTTGGGGGCAGAAGAATCAGTGAAGGTAGCCATTGCTGTCAGGACAATCCTGGTTAGGTATCCCTTCTCTCTTCCAGATACCAAGATTCCCAGCAGTTTGAAGACAAAGGGGACATAACTTGCCAGATGCCATCCCACATACAGGTTTGGGTTCTTGTGCTCTTACCTGGGCTGATGAGGCTAAAGAACACTCTGGAACAATGGCACCTAGTGGCTCCTGTTGTCTGTTGACACCGAACACAATGAACAGGACTGTCCATGGTAAGCAAATCCATCATGGAAATTAGATGGGGATGGCTCAATGGACTGCCCCTCGTATAGTTCCTGGGGTTGGGTCGATGATGAGACCTCATACTGTCTTGAAGAGAGATGATGACTTAAAAATCATGCTCAATAGGATTACGCTGAGGCCCAACCTAGTAAAGGTGGTACAGAAGGATACCAGGGTCTCCACATGCTCTCCAAGACAAGAGACCCTGGGGAGTGTAGATCTAAAAGTGCCCAGGCCGGGAAACCTTCCCCAGGCAGTAGCAGCTGCTCCTGCAGGATCCACCCAAGCTCCTTTCACTTTGACCTTGGTGTGTGCTCCCTACTCTCTCAAGGGCGGGGCCTTACTGGGAGTTCCTTCTTCAGTTCCTTTCATCCCCTTGTGTCTTTCAGTGAAAGGTGCTGCCAGCAGTTCACTCTTGGGACCCTGGGCCTAGGTGAGTGGCTGGCAAGGAATATTGTGCATCTGCGAAGGAGTTGAGTATCAGAGTGGATCCCTCTATGAAAGCCTGATAGGTGACCCACAGAAATGTAGGAAGGCTGCCTCAGGCTCTGAGGTCCAGAACCCTTTGCCTGAAATCCTGGCCTGGTTTGAGATTCAACTGAGGGATGGCAATGGTTTCTTGTGAAGGGTTCATGTGGGTCAGTGCCCCTACTTGTCCAAGGTGTGTAACAGCACCTTTGTGTTGCCTGACTGTTGTGGCCAGAAAGTAGGAACAGGGCTCTTTTGGGGGCAGGACTCAGATTCGTTGGGAGGTATGGAACAAGTACTACACAAAGGCAATAAGGGAGGCTTGTCAGGGAAACAACTCTGCAGTTTCTGACATTGGGAACTTAAAATGAATGGCAGGGTCATTGGAGGCATAACTCAGATACACTTCAGCTGGTGCCCAGTCAAGGGAGTGCCAGTACCCATGCCAGACTCAAGCCAGGGCTCTGGCATAGTGGTGCCAGGCATGCCCCATCCTATCTGTGTTTCTCATTCAAGGACTGACATTTGGGGGCCACATGGGTTTCCTTCAAAATCAGTTGAACATAGCAACAATACCAGGGCCCCTACTAGACATAGGGTCCTGCTCCTCTGCTGCTCCATAAGAGGCACCAGGGCCCATGGGAAGAGTGGGCCATGATCCAGCCCAATGCCTGTACCCAATATTTGGAATGTTTATGTTACTTTGGCTGGCAGAGACTGTAGCAGAAATATATGACCTGAGTGCACAGCCTGAGCTCAAAGGATCAGGTGTCTGCTGGCAGCCTGACCTGAGTGCCCAGGCCTGGAAAGGGACGTTATGTGGGTAAGCACTGGCTCTACTGGGGACTCATATGCACCTCACACCACTGGTCCTCTGATGCCAAGGCTATGCCACAGCTTACATATTCACCCTGGATACTGGCCAACTGAGTCCTCTGGGACAGGAATGAGCAGTAGGAATACCCATCTGGCAAGGCAACCTGGCCCAGGTTGACCTCTAAAGCCCAGTTACCAACATGCTCAGCACTTTGAGCGTGAGGTAGATGGGATTTGCCTGACCCACCATGTCTACAAGGGTAATTTCCTGGGAAGCCTCACCTAGTAACTTAGTGTGATGGGGTAAATCATGCTCTGAAACTAGTGCACCCTAGCCTGCCCTATCTGTTAGTTCATATCCGCACCTCCCTTTCCCACAGATGATGTCAACAGTGTACCGTAAGCAAGGGCTGTGCCACAGATCAACACACCGATATCTGGTGGTGCCAGCCCCACAGGCAAAAGAAAAACCCTGAAGACCCTAGGTAAGCCAATCCATAGGAGCCCTGAAGATGAGATGGCGCAAAGGTTTTCCTGTGCTGTGGTTCCTGTGTTGGGGCAATGATGAGACCTCATACTGTCTTGGAGAGAGATGATGACTTAAAAATCATACTCAATAGGATTACGCTGAGGCCCAGCCTAGTGACAGTGGTGTGCGATGACCCCAACATTCCCCTGCCCACCAGGGGAGGAGATCCTGGATACTGGAGACCTGGAGGCACTCTAGGCCAGGACATAGTCTGCAGACAGGAGCACCTGTATAGCAAGATATACCCAAGCTCCATCTTCCTTGGGCTTGATGTATACTCCCCACTGGCCAAGTTATGGGCCAAACTGGCACCTCCTTCCTCAGTTCTTTTACACAAGAGGGTAGCCTCGGACAGTGCCCTTGAGTGAGCTTTGCCCTTTGTGATTTAATGCCCTGAATGCCTTACCTGAACCTTTGCCTTGAGTGGGGGCTCAGGCAAGGAATTACAAATGTTTCCTGTGAGAGGGTTCATGTGGGGCCAGTGCTGCCACTTTTCCTAGGTGGGCCTCAGAAGCTCTTGGTTGCTTGTTGCTGTGGGCAGAAGTGGGTAGACACTGGGGAACCAGTGGGAGTGGGTTTAGGATTGATGGATTCCTGGCCAAAATCACACCAAGTCAGGAAAGGTGGTTTGGAGGAGGAGGCACCATTCAGGTGATGTTCAGCTCAGGACCTTCAAGTGGGTGGCAAGGCCACTGGAGCCTAAGTTGCAGGGACCCCTAGGCTGGTAGCATAACATCTGCAGGGTGGTGCCAGGCATGCCCATCCCTGTCCCTTTTCTAGTCCAGCACCTGGTGTTCTTAGCCCACATGGATGGACATGGGGTATGTTGAGCCAAACACAGATGACAGGGAACCTCTTGGCCCTAGGATCCCCCTGCTCCATAGGAGGCACCAAGACCCCACAGTAGGAGTCGGCCATTTTTCAGCCTAATGCCCATTCCCCATCTTTGGGATGTATCAGCACTTGGTTAGGCAGCGCCCATAGGAGGAAGCTGTATCAGTCTGGGGATTAGACCTTTGTGCAGGGCTGGCTCTCAGATCCTATAGAAGACCCTGAACAAGGACTGCATAAGAGGCCCAGGTGAACGACAACACAGAGCACTGAGAAAATGTTGGTGAGGCAGCCAGATCTGCAGGTGACTTGCAGCCTGGGAGCTTCATGTGGGTTGCAGGGTTCCTGAACCCTTGTGTACAGGGGTATTTGGTTGATGCCCAGCCAGAGGGGTACCAACACTCTGACCAGGGCACCTGCTTGGTGCTTCCCAGCATGCCCATCTCCAGTGCTTGCCTTGTCAAGGGCCTGCTTTTCCCTTCACACATGAGTGGACTTCAGGCTTAGAGGAGCCTGGTAAGGATGCCAGAGCCCCTCCTGGTTCCAGGATCCTGCTCTCAATGGAGGCACCAAGGCCCTGGAAAGAAGTGAGCCATGGTCCAGCCCGATGTTCATGCCACAACTTTGGAATGTGTACAGAACTGAGGTGGACAGTGACCATAGGATGTTTGTGTCTCCATGGGGCAGAGCTTGAGCTCTGAGCTCCAGTGTTTTGGTGCAGCATACAACTGAGCAAGTATCTGGGCCCATATGACAACACCATGTTGTTTGCCCAAGGCCCAGAGGGGACTTCCTTATGAATGTCTCATAGAACTGTAATACTAATGCTTAGGCCAGGCTATTGCTTGCTTGTCCAGTCCAGTTTCAGGCCAGAACCAGATTCTCATGTGCAGGAAGGATTGGTAGAGTAAGCTGCTTCCATCAGGACTAGACTGCCTGAGTGGGCCCCTCTGTATGGTGTACAAGAGGCCCATTTGGCAGAAAACTCAGCAGAGTGTTCCTGACCCACTGTGCCCACAATGGTGGGCTCCTGGAAAGCCTCACTTGGGCCAATGAGGCCAGCACATTCTGAATTCAGTGAATCCTAGCCTGTTACTGCTGTCTGTTCACACTCATTCACAACCCTGTAACACAGTTGATGTTACCAAAGAAAGACCCTATGGGGTGCAGTGCCCCTGGGGCAAGGACTTGGTCAAGGCCCTAGCATCCAATGAGCTGGTGTTGCCAGCCCTGTAGGACAAGGCAATGACCAGCACTGCCCATGGTACACCAGTCCATCCATACCCTAGAGCTGGGATGGCACATAGGCCTTCCTGTGTGGTGATACCTGGGGTTGGGTCAATTTCGGATGAAACCTCATACTGACCTGAAGAGATATGATGACTGAAAAATCATGCTCAATAAGATTACGCTGAGGCCCAGCCTAGCGAAAGTGGTGAAGAGAACCTTGGAGTAACCAGTTGCATAACAGGGGAGGAGAACCTGGGCACTAGAGATCTGGAGAACCCCAAGCAAGTGTGTGGTCCACAGGCAGAGCAGCTGCTCATTCAGGATGAATATAAGCTCTTATGTTCCTTGGGTTTGGTGTGTGCTTCCCCCTGGTGAAGATGAAGGGCCACAGTGGGCTCCTATCTCATCTCCATTCTTCTCTTCTATATTTCAGTGAGTAGAGTAGCCTGGAGAAGTAGCCTTTCAACCTGGGTCATAGGTAAGTGGATGGTGGTGGTAATGGGGCCTCTGTGAGGCAACAGGGATTCTGTAGGGTCACAGACATGAACTTCAAGGGTAACCCACGGAGACATGGAGACACAGAAAGGCAGCCTTGGGCAGTTATCCTGAGTGAGCTGTGCCCCTTTTGGCTCTGAGGTGCAGAATGCCTTACATGAACCCTGCCTTGTGTGGGGGCTCAGGCAAGGAAAGAAAGCATTTCCCAAAAGAGGGTTCACATGGGGCCAGTGCTTCTGTTCAACCTAAGAGGGCTCAGCAGCACTGGGATGCCTAGCTGATATGGGCGGAAGTGGCCAGGCCTCAGGGAACCAGCCTCCATGGGGGCGGGAGCAGGGACAGGTTTTAGATTCAGTGGGGCCCGGGCTCAAGACCACATCAAGGCAGAGAGGGGGTTTTGGAGGGGCAGAGACTCTGCAGATGACTGTCAGCCTGGGAAATTCACATGGGTAACAGGGCAATTGGATCCTAGGACATAGAGATGATCAGTCTGGTTCCTATTTAGGAAATGCCAATATACATACTATGGCACATTCATGGTAGTGCCAGACACACCCATCTCCCTTGTTTACCTGGTACAGGGGATGGTATTCTCAGGCCACATGGGTGGCCTCAGACTAATTGAATCCAGCAAGCATAACAAGGATCCTCTAGCCTTGGGCTCCCATTGCTCCATGGGAGGTACCAAGTTCCCACAGTAGAGCTGGAGTATGGTGCATCCTAATGCCCATACCCTATCTTTGGGATATGTACAGACCTGAGTTGGGCAGCAACCACAGGAAGTAGGTGTATCTGACAAGCTCAGTATGAATTCTGAAGATACAGTTTGTGCATGTAACCTAGACCTGAGCCCTCAGGCCTGGTTGGAACACCATGTTGTTAACCCCAGGTCCCCACAGTGGCCTCCTTGGATGTCTCATTCATTCAGTCCTTAGGCCAACTATGTTCCATTGCTTGGTTGTCTAGCCTGTTTCCCTGCTGGAACCTGACTGTTGAGGTAATATTGGCGCAATAGAGGATGCTCGCTCTGTGACCAAGAGGCCCAGTAGTTCTTAGGTAAGGTGGGCTGATTTTGCCAATACCACCATGCTTACAGGTGTGGGATCCTAGGAGGGCTCAAAAGGGCCAATAGGGTCAAAGCAAGCTCTGGAAGTTGTATGCCTAGAGCGTTCCTCTGTTGCCTGTTCATACATGGCCCCTACCGGTTCCACAGATGATGTCAGCAGAAAAGCAATCCATGGATACTAGTACCCGTTGGCAAGGGCTGTGGTCAAGGCCCAGCTTCCAATGAGTTGATGCTGCCATCCCTCTTGGACAAGGAAACAACAGACTTCCAGAGGTAAGCCAATTTATCTGGGCTCTGGGAGTTGGATGACACCATGAGATTCCCATGGAATGGTCCCTGGGGTTGGGTCGATGATGAGACCTCATTCTGTCTTGAAGAGAGATGATGACTTAAAAATCATGCTCAATAGGATTACGCTGAGGCCCAGCCTAGAGACAGTGATGCAAGAGGACCCCAGGTTCCACATGTGCTTTCTAGTGGTAAAGAACCTGGTTACTGGAGACCTCAAGACCCAGAGGCAGGAGGCAGTGCCCAGGCAGGAATGGCTGACCCTAGAGGATCCAACTAAGCTTCTTCCTCCTTGGCTTGGTGTGTGCTCTCCTCACATTCAGTTATGGTGCTTCCTTCTTCAGCTCCCTTTATCCCCTTGTCTCTTTCAGTGAGATGTATGTGCTGCCCTTTGTGTCACTCTTACATCCTCGTTCCAAGGTGAGTGGAAGGAGAAGATAATGGGGCCTCTTTAGGAGAGCTGGGCATCAGGGCTGGTCACCCAACACAAGCCTTAGGGGTGGACACACAGAGACACAGGAAGTCAACATCGGGCTGTGCTCCAGAGCTTTCAATGTCACCATGGGCTCTAAAATCCAGAATGCCAGCATGAAGTTCTAGCCTAGTTCATGGGCCAACTGATGGATGGCAACAGATCCTGGGTGAGGGTTCACCAGCAAATGCCCCCTCTCCATTCTATTTGAGCTACAGCAGCTCTGGATTACCTTGCTGGTTGGAAGTGGGCAAGCGCTAGGGATCATGCCTCTCTGTGGTACAGGGCTCAGATCCTGTCCTGTTAGGCCACAACAAATGACCACACCAAGTAGTAGGGAAGTTTTGTAGAGCAGCTAGCTCTGCAGGTGACTTGAAACCTGGGAGCTTCACATGGGTCAAAAGCCACTGGAGCCTAGGACTCAGGGACTCACATTTCAGTGCCCAGTCACAGGTGTGCCAATACCCATGAAATGGCACCTACAAGATAATGCCATAGACACCCCATACCCACAACTTACCTCATCTAGGGACTTATATTCATGGGTCATCTACATGGGACTGGGATGTGTTGGTTCCAGCAGGAATGTCAGTGCACCTCCTAGTCCCAGGCTCTCCTTCCACAACAGGAGACACCTATGCCCTATGGTATAGTTGTCCATGGTCCAGGGTTGTATTACTACACCATTTTTTGGTATGGACAGTACTGAAGATGGAAGTAACCATATGACAAAGTGTTCCCAGGTAGCACAGACTGAGAAGCATTGCTCCCAGGATCTACTGTGCTCAGGCAACCTGCACCCAATCTCTCAGGCCTGTACAGCAACCTGTGTTGATAGGTCCAGGGCCCCACTGCTGTTTCCTTGGGTATGTTTGTGAGGCCAATCTTCTGATACTTTGGCTATGCCATTGCTTGCTTGTCCATCATGGTTTCCCACCAGGATCAAGATCTTGGGGGCAGAAGGATCAGTGAAGGTAGCCACTGCTGACATTTATGATCCTGGCCAAGTGTCCCTCTCTGCTCTGGTGACCAAAACTCCCAGCAGTTTGTGGACAAGTGGGACCTAACTTGTTCTTTGGAGTACTTGCCTGGGTCAACAACACTAAAGAACACTCTGGAATTTCTGTACCTAGTTGCCCCTTCTTTCTGTTCATACCCGACACAATGAACAAAATTGCCTATGGTAATTGAATCCTTCTGGGCTTTTAAGTTGAAGTGGCTCCAAGGACTGCCCCTGGTATGATTCCTGGGGTTGGGTGAATGATTAGACCTTATACTGGTTTGAAGAGGGATCATGACTTAAAAATTATGCTCAATAGGATGACCTTGAGGCCCAGTCTAGTGACTGAGTATCAAGAGGACCACAGAGTCCACATGTGCCTAAAAGAGGATACCTTGGGTAGTGGACACCTTTAGCTTCCCCAAGCCAGAATGCAGTCCCTAGGAAGGAGTGGCCACTCCTGTTGGACCCAACCAAACTCCTTCCACCTTGGGCATGGTATATGATCCCCACTTGCTGAGTTGTGGGGATTTCTTTTTTTTTTATCTTTTATTTAATGAATATAAATTTCCAAAGTACGACTCATGGGTTACAATGGCTTCCCCCCCCATACCGTCCCTCCCACCCACAACCCTCCCCTTTCCCACTCCCTCTCCCTTTCCATTCACATCAAGATTCATTTTTGATTATCTTAATATACAGAAGATCAGCTTAGTATACCTTAAGTAAGGATTTCAACAGTTTGCTCCCACACAGAAACATAAAGTGAAAAATAATAGATGATTTTTTTAAAATGATGATGAAATCAGATCAGACCTATTGTCATGTTTAATCCCAGTGAGAGTCAAGTTGGGAATTGATAATTTCTTTTTTTTTTTTTTTTTACAGAAGATCAGTTTAGTGTACATTAAGTAAAGATTTCAATCGTTTGCACCCCCATAGAAACACAAAGTGAAATATACTGTTTGAGTACTCGTTACAGCATTAAGCCTCAGTGTACAGCACATTAAGGACAGAGATCCTACATGAGGAGTAAGTGCACAGTGAATCCTGTTGTTGACTTTACAAATTGACACTCCTGTTTATGGCATCAGTAATCTCCCTATGCACCAGTCATGAGTTTCCAAGGCTATGGAAGCCCCTTGAGTTCTCCGACTCTTATCTTGTTTAGACACGGTCTTAGTCAAAGTGGAGGTTCTCTCCTCCCTTCAGAGAAAGGCACCTCCCTCTTTGAAGACCTGTTCTTTCCACTGGGATCTCACTCACAGAGATCTTTTTGCCAGAGTGTCTTGGCTTTCCATGCCTGAAATACTCTCATGGGCTTTTCAGCCAGATCCGAGTGCCTTTAGGGCTGATTCTGAGGCCAGAGTGCTATTTAGGACATCCGCCATTCTATGAGTCTGCTGAGTATCTCACTTCCCATGTTGGATCACTCTCCCCTTTATTTGTTCTATCGGTTAGTGTTAGCAGATACTAGACTTGTTTATGTGCTCCATTTGACTCTTAGTCCTTTCATTATGATCAATTGTGAACTGAAATTGATCACTTGGAATAGTGAGATGGCATTGGCACATGCCACCTTGATGGGATTGAATTGGAATCCCCTGGTATGTTTCCAACTCTACCAATTGGGGCAAGTCAGCCCGAGCATGCCCCAAATTATACATCTCTTCCCTCTCTTATTCCCACTCTTATGTTTAACAGGGATCACATTTCAGTTAATTTTCAACACTTAAGAATAACTGTGTGATAATTACAGGAGTTGTGGGGATTTCTAGGGGGGCTCCTTCTTCAGGCCACTTTGTCCCCTTGTTTTTCTTTTTCAGTGAGATGTACTAGCTGGTGGGTCATATTTGTGTCCTGGATTCCAGGTGAGTAGATGTCGTGGGTTATGGATTCTCTGTGGTGCAGCTGGGTTTCAGGGTGTGTCACCCAAAGTAAGCCTAAGGGATGTACCCACTGAGATACAAGAAGGTAGCCTGGGGCTGTGCTTCTCAGTGAGATGTGCCCTTTTGGGCTCTGAGGTCCAGAACAGCTTACCTGACTCTGTGGTTAGTACTGGAGTCAGGCAAGAAAAGGAAATGGTTCCTGAGGGATGGGTCACATGCTGTCAAATCCTCCACTTGGCCTATGGCTGGGGCAGCAGCTCTGTGTTGCCTTGCTGGTGTTACTGGATATAGTCAGACACTGAGGATCAGGCTTCTCAGAAGGTTCAGGTTTCAGATTATGTAGGAGGTCTGGGCTGAGGACCACATTGAGCATTAGAGGTAGGTTTCATATGTTGCCGGCCCTGGAGGTGTCTCTCATACAGGGAGCTTCACATGCATCACAGGGCTCCTGGAACCTAAGACACTGGGATGCTCAGTCCAGTGCCTGGTTAGAGGTTTCAGACATCTGTGCCATGGCAACTGCAGGGCCATGATCCAGACCAATGCCCTATGCTGTCTGTCCAACCTGCCCCTTCCCATTTCCATAGATGATGGCATCAGGATCCCTTGTGCGGACCAGTACCCCAAAGGGAAGGCTGTAGTCAAAGCACCAGCAGACCATGAGCTGGTGGTACCAAGATCTTGGGGAAGGAAATTTCCCTGGTTGCCCAAGGTAAGCCAATCCATCCAGGCCTTAGAGGTGGGATGGCACCAAGGGATTACTGTGCTGTGGTTCCACTGGTTGGGTCGATGATGAGACCTCATACTGTCTTGAAGAGAGATGATGACTTAAAAATCATGCTCAATAGGATTACGCTGAGGCCCAGCCTAGTGACAGTGGTACAAGGGAACATCAGGGTCTTTATGTGCTTTCCAGTGCAAGAGACACTGTGGAACATAGACCCGAAAACCCCCAGGCTGGAAAAACATCCCAGGCAGCAAATGCTGCTGCTGTGGATCTACCAAAGTTTCTTTTAGTAAGGGTGTGTTCCCTATGGGCTGAATTGTGGTGCTGGACTGGGGCTTCTTCTTCAGCTCCTTTCATCCTCTTGTGCCTTTCAGTGAGATGTGCTGCCCGTCAGGACACCCTTGTATCCCACATCCCAGGTGAGTGTACGGTGAGGATCATGGAGCCTCTGGGCAGTATCTGGGCGTCAGATCACCTGTCACAGCACAGGATGTGGACCTATGGTGAAAAAGGATGGACACCTCTGACTGTGCTCCAGAGCCGGCTATGCCCCTATGGACTTTGAAATCCAGAACACATTGCCTTAAACACTGGCCTGGTTGTGCTGAGGGTTGGGAATGGATCCTGGGGAAGGGTTTAGTGAGGCTATTTGCCCCCAGTTCTCCTATGTGTGCTGCAGTGGGTATGCATTGCCTTGATCTTTTATCTAAGAGTGAGCAAAATTCAGTATCAGATATCTTTGTCGGAGACTGGCTCAGATTCTGTTGGAAGCATGGGAAGGGGATAAAACCCATCATGAGGGAGGGTTGATGGGAGAGCCTACTCTTCAGGTGCCTGGTAGCTAGGAAGCTTCACATGCCTGGTAACATGGTAGCTGAATACTAAGACACAGCACCATCAGGCAGTATCCAGTCTGGGGATTCGGACACTTAGCCTAGGTCACCTGAATGGTGGTGCCAAGCTTGTCCCATGCCTGGCACTTGCCTCATCCAGGGATCAGCTTTCCTTCTCACATGGGTGAGCTTTGAACCGAGGTGAACTTATAAGGACATGGGGTCTGTCTTGGTCCCGCCATCCACTTCTCCATGAGACGCACCAAAGCCCCACAAACGAAGGATCCATGTCTGGGCTGATGCCCCTTCCCCATGTTTAGGATATGTCCAGGACTGCTGAGTACAGACACCATGGGAGGAAGGTATCTTGGAGTACATAGCTGGAGAGCCTGGGAAGCAGGTTGTATTCACACCCACTACCTTAACACACAGGCCTGGCCTGGATAGGAATGCTGAGTGAGTCATGGAAAAACCCCACCAAGGCTTCCTGTGATGCATCTTATGCCATCGGTTCTTTGATATCAGGTGCATGCAAGCACCTTCTAGTCCTTACCAGGTCTTGAGCCAGATTTGCGATCGAGGTAAGAAGGGATTTGGTGTTAGCCACTTCCAGCATGGTGACACAGTCTGACTTGCTCTCTCAGGCCCTGTGACCAAGAAGCCCAAAAGTTTCAGGCAATGAAGTTGTAGCCTGTGCAAACCAAGATGTCCACAGAGGCAGCCTCCTGGAAACCTCACCTGGACTGATTAGAGTCAAAGCATGCTTGGGAGTCAGTGTACTATAGCCTGATCCTACTGTCTGTTTACTCCCAACCTGCTCCATGTGCACAGATGGTGTCAGCAGAAGAACCCCCATGGAGAACAGACCAAATTCAAGAACTGTGGACAAGGTGCCAGCAGCCAATGAACTGGCGATGCCAGCCTTGTTGAAGAAGGAATCATCCAGGACTGCCTGAGGTAAGCCAATATTAATAGGCACTATCAGTGGGATGGCTTTCAGAGGTCTTGTTGTTTGTTTCTATGGGTTGGGTCAATGATGAGACTTCATACTGTCTTGAAGAGAGATGATGACTTAAAAATCATGCTCAATAGGATTACGCTGAGGCCCAGCCTAGTGACAGTGGTGCAAGAGGACCTTGGGGTAACCAGGTGTCTTCTAGGTGAGGATTGCTGGGGACTGAAGACTACAAGGTCTCATATGCCAGCACACAGTACCCAGACTGGAGCAGCTGCTCATGCAGAGTGCACCATGCTCCATCTTCCTTGGGTTTGTTGTGTGTTCCCTGCTGTCTGAGTTGCAAGACCATGCTTAGGGCTCCTTCTTAGATCGTTTCATCCTCTTCTGTCTTTCAGTGCGAGGAGCTGCACAATGGGGAACAGTTACACCCCAGTTTCCAGGTGAGTGGATAGAGGGTGTCCATTGGCCTGTGTCTGGCAGTAGGGGTTTTGGTGGGTCACCAGACTTGAGCCTCTGGGCTGGACACATGGAGACACAAAAAGGCAGACTTGGGCAGTTTTTGAGTGAGCGCCTTTAGGTTGATATCCTGAAGAACTTACATGTAGAGGCCCATGGTTGCCTTGCTCTTGTGGCTGTAAGTGTGCCAACACTAGGGACCAGGCAACTGTTTGATGGCAGGGCTCAGATCCAAAATAAGGCCCATACAGACAAACATACCAAGCAGTCAGTGAGTTTCATGGAGCAACTGGCTCTGTAGGTGTCTGGTAGCCAGGGAGCTTCACTTGTCTCACAAGGCCACTGGAGCCTAGGGCCCATGAACCCTCAACCCAGTGTCTTTTCAGAGAGGAACCAATACCAGAGCCATGGCACCTGCAGAGTGGTGCTAGTCACACCAAATTTCTTCTCTTTGCCTTCTCTAGGTGCTGGCATTCAATGGCCACATTAATGGGCTTGGACTGTGTTGGGCCTGTTAAGATTGCCAGTGCAACTCCTGGGTCTGGGCTCCTACTCCTCCATCGTTGACATCAAGGCTGCAATATATAAATGTGCCATGGCCCAGCCTGTGGTCACTTACTCATTATTCAGATGTGTTGATCCTGTGTTTTTCAGTAACAATAGTAAGAAGTTGTTTTTGCAGGCAGGCACAGCCTGATCTCTCAGGATACATTGTGCTCTCACAGCCTGTACCAAAGCACACAAGCTAGTAAAGCAACCCTGTTTTAGTATGCTGAAGGCCCTGCCCTACGAATTACCCGGGGTATGTCTTATGTAGCAAGTATTCCAGTGCTTAGATTGAGAAATTGCTCACTTGACTAGCCTGGTTCTGGCATGGATGTACATTTTGGTGGCAAAAAAGATTTGTGGATTTAATCATTGCTATTCAAAAAGATCCTACCAGAGTGTGTGTCTCTCTTTCCCTCTGAACAGGCCCCACAGTTTTGGATGACATGGGCAGAACTTGCCAGTCCCCACCCCAGCTATAGAATGGCCTGCTAGGAGAACTCACCTGGGCCAATGAAGCCAAAGTACGCTGAAGAACCAGCACACCCTTGCCTGGCCCTGCTGCCTTTTCACCCCCATTTACTTCCTTTTTCCACAGATGTCAGTAGAGGAAATCAAGGGGGCCCAGTGCCATGGGGACAAGGGCTCTGGTCTACATCTAGTTGCACATTAGCTGGGGGTGTCATCCCCATAGATGTAGGAAATGTCTGGGACTGTCCAAGTACACCAAAAAATCCAGGCCCCTGAGTTGGTGTGTATCTAGGAGCTACTCTTGTTGTGATTCCTGGGTTTGGGTTAATGATGAGACTTCACACTGTCTCAAAGTATCTTAGTGACTAAAATTCATGCTCAATAGGATTGTACTGAGGCCCATCCAAGTGATAGTCAGTCACGAGTATTCCAGGGTGCACATGTGCCTTCCAGGGTAAGAAGCTGGGTATTGGACACCAGGAGGCTTCCCAGGATAGGTTTAGTCCTCAGGCTTGAGTGGCTGCTCCTGCTGGAGTCATCCTAGCTCCTTCCTCTTTGAACTTGGTGTGTGCTCTCTACTGGCCATGTTGTAGGTCATGCTCAGTCTCTTCTTCAGCTCCCTTTGCTCCTGTGGTCTTTCAGTGAGGTATGTTTCCTGACAGGTACTATAATTTCCAAAGCACTTTCTTGGTGTGAATGTAGGTGGGCAGACAATAGGGATATGGCTTCTGTGTGTGGGAAGGCCTTAGTTCCTCTATATGGCCCCTATGGATGGTCACACCAAGTGAAATAGTTTGGTGGAGCAGCTGGATCTGCAGATATCTGGTATCTTCATGTGGGTCACAAGGCCATTGGAGTCTAGTACCTAGGAGCTCTCAGTTTGGTGCCTGGTGTGGTAGTATAAGCACTTAGGCCATAGCATTTGTAGCATGGTTCCAGGGACACACTTTTCTACCCCTTGAATTTTCTATGTGCTGGGGTTCATGGGCCATAAGGAATGACTCAGACTGAATTGGGCCTATCAAAGATGCCAGTGTACCTTCTGGACCCATGTTCCCACTCCTCCATGGTAGACACCAAGGCTCCACGGTAGAGTTGTCCATGGTTCATCCTAATTGTTCTATACCATCTTTGGTGTGTATATCATACTGAGATGGGCAGTGACCATAAGCTGAATGTTTCTCTGGGTGGCACAGCTTGAGACCCAGAATCTACTGTTCATGTACATCCTGCAACAAGTTGCTCAGGCCCATACAGTGACCCTGACTTGATAGGCCCAGGGCACTGCAGGTGTCTCCTTAGATATATCCAGTCTTCTGATACTTAGGCTGAACCATTACCTGCTTGTTCAGCACAATTCCGTATAGGACCTGGATGTTAGGGGCAGGAAGTATGATGGAAGGCGCCATTTCTGGCAGGACACTCCTGTCCAAGTATCCCTTTCTGTTCTAGTAACCTAGAAGCTCAGCAATTTGCTAAACACTACCACGCCTACAGGGTTAGACTCCTGGAACTACTCATCTGATCTGATGAGGTCAAATCATGTTCTGGAATCTTTGCAGCCTAATACGGGCCTGTTCTCTGTTCACTCCTGACTAAATGACCAATACTGCCCATGGTAAGCCAATCCATCCATCCTTGCCATATGTTGTGATGGCTCCAGGGACTCCTCCTGCTGTGTTCACTGGGGTTGGGTATATGATGAGATAACAGAATGTCTCAAAGAGAGATGATGACTTAAAATCATGCTCAATAGGATTACTCTAAGGCCTCACATAGTTACAGGGTGCCAGGAGTACCCTAGAGTCCACAAGTGCCTTTCAGGGTAGACCCATAGGAATGCACACCTGGAGGCTACCCCAGTCCTGAATGTAGTCCCTAGGAAAGAGTCTTTGATCCTGATGAATCCAATCAAGCTATTTCCTCCTTGGATGTGGTGTGTTATCCCAACTTGCCAAGTTATGGGTATATTTTGTGGGGCTCCTTCTTCATCTCCCTTCATCCTCTTTTTTCTTCCAAGAGATGTAGAACCCAGTGGGTCACACTTGCATCCTCGTTCCCAGGTGAGTGCATGGCATGGGTCTTGTGTGGTGGAGTTGGGTATCATGGCCGGTCACTCAATGCAAAAGTTAGGAATGTACTCAGGGAGACATCAGAATGCAACCTGGGGCTATGATCCTGAGTGAGCTGTCTCTCTTTGGGCTCTGAGGTCCTGAATACCTTACCTGAATCCCCAGAAATGTGTGTGTACCTGGAAAGGAATGAAAACTGTTCCTGAGGGAGGATCATGTGCTTTCTTGCTTGCTTTCTTTCTTTCTTTCTTTCTTTCTTTCTTTCTTTCTTTCTTTCTTTCTTTTTTTTTGACAGGCAGAGTGGACAGTGAGAGAGAGACAGACAGAGAGAAAGGTCTTCCTTTGTCGTTGGTTCACCCTCCAATGGCCGCCGCGGCCGGCGCGCTGCAGCCGGCGCACCGCGCTGATGGATCATGTGCTTTCGAAGTTGCCACTGCTCCTATGGGGCTATATAACATCTCTGTGTTGCCTGTTGGTGTAACCAGCAGTATTAAGACACGAGGGATCTGGCGTTCTGAAGGTGCAGGTTCAGCTTCCTTAAGAGGTCTGGTTTGAGGATCAATTTGAGAATAGGAGGGAATTTGGCCAGGCTGCCAGCTATGCAGGTTTCTAGCAGCCTGGGATCTACAACCGGGTTGCAGGGCCCCTAGAACCTAGCACACAGAAATGATCAGTTTGATGACCAATGAGGGAAGCGGAGGCATCTGTGCTATGGTAGCTGCAGGGCCATAGTCCAGCCCAATGCCTTGCCCCAACTGTGGGATGTGCATGCAACTCAGTAGGCAGTGTCCTTGGGGGAAATTTTCTTTGGATCCGTAGCCTGAATTCATGGGTTCCAGTGTGTGATCAGAGCTTGCACCTGAGCCCCTAGGTCTGGACAAGGATACAATCTTGGTAGGACCAGAGCTGTTCTGGGGACTCCTTTGGTAAGACCCTTGACACCACTCTTCTGAGCTGTGCCAGTGCAAGAATGTTCAGCCAGACTAAAGGCACAAATAGTTCTCTGGGGAGGAAAGGGTTTTGGGACTCCCACGGGAGTGCATGGCAGGGACTATGGGGTCTTTGTTAGGAAATAGATTGTCACAGCGGATCAGCCAATGAAAGCTAACTTGTGGCCTGGGTTTGGGCCCAATTAAGAGATACCAAAGTTCCTGGGGGTGGTTCACATTTGGCCAGTGCCCATGTTTGTTCTAGGTGAGCTGGAGAGCCTCTGAGTTGTCTTGTCTGATATGTTGGAAGTTCTTGACTTCTGGGTGTCCAACCACAGTGTGAGTGCTGGGTTTAGATTTCAAGGAGGCCAGCGCCACGGCTCAATAGACTAATCCTCCACCTAGCGGCGCCGGCACACCGGGTTCTAGTCCCAGTTGGGGCGCCGGATTCTGTCCCATTTTCCCCTCTTCCAGGCCAGCTCTCTACTGTGGCCCGGGAGTGCAGTGGAGGATGGCCCAGGTGCTTGGGCCCTGCACCCCATGGGAGACCAGGATATGCACCTGGCTCCTGCCTTCAGATCAGCGCGGTGCGCCAGCCACAGCACGCCGGCCTCGGCGGCCATTGGAGGGTAAACCAACGGTGAAGGGAAGACCTTTCTCTCTGTCCCTCTCTCTCTCACTGTCCACTCTGCCTGTAAAAAAAAAAAAGATTTCAAGGAGGCCTTGGATGAAGATTGGATGAAGACACAAAAGGTAGGGATAGGGGTTTTGTGGGGTACCAGGCTGTGCATATGCCTGGCTGCCTGGGAGGTTTATAGGGGTCAAAAGTTCTCAGGAAAGGTGGCATAGCTTTTCCAACCCCACACACCTATAGGGGTGGCCTCATGGTAGGCCTCACCTAGGCCAATGGGGACAGTGTATGCTGGGGAACCAATGCATCCTTACCTGCACCAGCTGTGTGTTCACACGTGCCTCCTCCTAGTCCCACAGATGATGTCACCAGATGAAACATACATGTGTTTCAGTGTCCCAGAAGCAAGAGCTGTGGTCATGAACCCAACAGCCCACGAGCTCATCCTGCCTGCATTGTTGGAAAATATCTGCAACTGCCTGTGGTAAGCCAGAAACCTGAGCCTTGGAGTTGGGATGGTGCCGGGGTATCCCTGTGCTGTGGTTTGTGGGGTTGGGTCGATGATGATACCTCATACTGTCTCGAAGAGAGATGATGACTTAAAAATCATGCTCAATAGGATTACGCTGAGGCCCAGCCTAGTGACAGTGGTTCGTAGGGTCTTGGGGTAACCAGATGCCTTCCAGGGGAGGGGACTCTGGTGGCTGTAGAACTCAAGGACCCCCATGGGAGGAAGTGACCTGCAGGCAGAATCAGCTTGTGCAGGATTCATAAAAACTCTATCCTCATGGGGTTTGTTATTTGATCCCTGCCGTAAAATTTGCTGTCCTACACTGAGTGCTCCACCCTCCTCTCCTATATCTAAAACTGTCTTTCAGTGAGATGAGCTGCCCTATGGAGCAACCTTGAACCAAGGGTTCTAGGTGAGTGGATGGAGGTTGTAATTGGGCCTTTGTGGGACAGTGAGTACTCTGGTCATGTCATCCCAAGAGTGTGATGGGAGGAACCACAGAGACCCAGGAAGGCAGCCTTGAGCCATGGTCTTTAGTGAGCGATGAAACTTTGGACTCTGAGGTGCAGATCAATGGACTTAAATCCCTTGCCTGGTGAGGGTGCCAAATAAAGAGTTTATATACTTCTGAACAAAGGGACACATTGGGGCAGTGCTACCGCTGGTTCTCATTGGGTTACAGCACATCTTGGTTGACTTGAAGGTGTGGAAAGATGTTGGAAAACACTAATAATAAGGCCACTGGCCAGGGACAGGGATGAGATTCACAAGAAGACCCAGGCAAGATCACACTAAGGCAGTAAGGGAGAGTTGATCATTCAGCCAGGTCTGCAGGTGCCAGGCAGCCTGGGAGTTTTATGTGGGCCGTGGTTCCACTGTGCTATGCTGCAGGGATCTCTGAGCTGTGCCTGGTCAGAGAGGTTCTACAAGTGATTCATAGCACATAAAAGTTGATGCCATGCATTCCATATAGCTGCTGCTTGCCTGGTCCAGTGGCTGGCATTTGCAGGCCACGTATATGTGTTTTGGACTAACCTGAGCCCACCAAGGATGCCAGGGCCTTCACTGAGCCTGGGGTTCTGTTCCTCAACAGTACACACAAAAGCCACATGGGCCATGGTCCCACCCAATGCACATAACCCATCATGGGGATGTGTTCGGGAATTAGTTGGGCAGTAACCAGAGGAGGGCAGTGTCTACATGGGGCCCAGCCTTTCCTCTGAGGATACAGTGCATTCAGACATCCCCATATGAGCTCCTGAAGATGTGAGGCAACAATGTATTGGTAGGTCCAGGAACCACAGTTTTATGTTTTGGGATTTTGAACTACGGTTATTACTATGCTTGCTTGTCCAGTCCCATTTCCAGCCAGGACCTGTGTCTTTCGGCTTGCAGGAACAATGGTGGAAACTACCTCCAATACTACGTTTCTGGCCTAATAGGCCTCTCAGTCACATAGACCAAGCACACCTAGAGAGGTAGGAACCTGAAAACCTCATCTGGGATGATGGTGGCCTAAGCATGCTCTGGATCCGTGTATCCTATTATGCTGCTGCTGTAGTTCACACCCAATCACCTCCCTATCCCACAGATAGTGTCACCAATGGAAGCCCCTACGAGGTCCAGTTTGTGGAGCAAGGGCCGTGATCAAGGGCCATGAGCAATCAAGCTTGTTCCATCACCAAGAGAGAATGAAATGTCTCTGACTTCCTGAGGTACGTCAATCCTATGGGCTGTAGTGTTAGGGCAGTGATAATGGGATTCCATTGTATGGTTCCTCTGGTTGGGTCAATGATGAGACCTCATACTGTCTTGAAGAGAGATGATGACTTAAAAATCATGCTCAATAGGATTACGCTGAGGCCCAGCCTAGTGACAGTGGTGCAGGAGGACAGCAGGGTCCCTATGTGCTTTCCCATGCAAGAGACACTGTGGAACTTAGGCACCCAACTGGGAAAACGTCCCAGGCAGCAGATCTGCTCCCGCGGGATCTACCAAAGTTTTTTCCTCCTTGGCAAGGGTGTGTTCCCCATGGGCTGAATTGTGGTGCTGGACTGGGGCTCCATCTTCAGCTCCTTTCATCCTCTTGTGCCTTTCAGTGAGATGTGCTGCCCATCAGAACTCCCTTGTATCCCACATCCCAGGTGAGTGTACAGTGAGGATCATGGGGCCTCTGGGCAGTATCTGGGGGTCAGAGCACCTGTCACAAGCACAGGAAGTGGACCTATGGTGAAAAGGGTGGCTACCTCTGACTGTACTCCAGAGCCATTTGTGTCCCTTCGGACTCTTTGTTCCAGAACATCCTACATGAACTGCTGGCTCGGTTTGGGGGCCAAGAGAAGGTTGGCAGTGGATCCTAGGGAAGGGTTTATTTGTGGCCATTGGCACCACTTCTCCTAAGTGGGCTGCAATGGCTCTGCATTGCCTTGCTTTTTTGGCTAGGTGTGGGCTTTATTTGGGATCAAGAGTCTTTTGAAGGAGTGGCTCTGACTATGTTGGATGCCTGGGCAGATGACCACAAACATCAGTGAGAGGCATTTGGTGGGAGAGCTAGCTTTGCAGGTGCCTGGCAGCATGGTAGCTTCACATGCCAGGCAACATGGTAGCTGCATACTAGGACAAAGCACCATCAGGCAGTATCCAGTCAGGGGGATTCAGACACCTATCTCAGGTCACCTGTATGGCGGTGCCCTGCATGCCCCATCCCTGGCACTTGCCTCATTAAATGGGACAGCATTCCCTTTCACAAGAGTTAGCTTTGACTGAGTTGAACATATTAAGGATACAGAGTTCGTCCTGGTCCAGGGCTCCCACTCCTCCATGAGTTTTGCCAATTCCCATAAACAAAGGATCCATGTTCTAGGCCGATGCCCCTTCCCAATCTTTAGGATGTGCACAGGACTGCAGTGGGCAGAGATCATGGGAAGAAGGTGTCTCTGGAGTGTATAGCAGGAGATCCCAACATGAAGGTTTTGTCTACCAGCCTTTACCATAGTTCACAGGCCTGGCCTGGACAGTAATGCCATATTGGTAGTCACAAGGCCCCCCAGGGTTCCTGTGATGCATCTAATGCCATCAGTTCCCTAATATCAAGTCTATGCCAGCTCTTTCTAGTCCAACCCAGTCCCAGGCTAGAATTGGGCACAAGAGAAGGGGAGTGGGGTTAGCCGTGTCCAGCATGGTGACACAATCTGAGTTGCCTTCTCCAGTCCTGTGACCAACAGACCCAGAAATTTCAGGCAAGGTGCACAGAGCCTGCCCAAACCATGATGCCTATAAGGGCAGTCTCCTGGAAGCTTCACCTGGGCTGTCAGGGCCAAAGCAAGCTTGAGAGCCAGTGAACCCTAGCCTGTTCCTGCTCTATGTTCACATCCAAACCCCTCCTTGTTCACAGATGTCAGCAGAGGAATCCCTGTGGACAAGGTGCCAGCAGCCTTTGAGCTGTTGATGCTAGCCATGAAGAAGGAAATGTCCAGGACTTCCAGAGGAAAGCCAGTCCTAACAGCGTTATCGGTGGGAGGGCTCACAGAGATTCTTGAGGTGTGTTTCCTGGGGTTGGTTTGATGATGAGACCTCATACTGTCTCGAAGAGAGATGATGACTAAAAATCATGCTCAATAGGATTACGCTGAGGCCCAGCCTAGTGACAGTAGTACAAGAGGAATTTGGTGTAAACAGGTGCCTTCCAGGGGAGGAGACCCTGGGGATTGGAGAACTCAAGGCCCCTCTTGAAAGGCTGTGATCTTCAGGCATGATCGGCTACTTTTGCAGGAGTCACATGAACTCTACCCTCATTGGGTTTATAGTGTGTTTTGTGCTGTAAAAGTTACTGTCCTGAACTGCAGACCCCTCCCTCAGCTCCTGTGTTCCAAACTGTCTTTCAAAAGATTAACTGCACCATTGATCACTCTTGCACTAAGGGTTCTAGGTGAGTGAATGGAGAGTGTAATTGGACCTGTGTAGGGTAGCAGGTGTTCTGGGCATGTTGCCAAATGAACCTCATGGGTAGAACCAGAGACCCAGGAAGGCAGCCTCGGGCCATGGTCTTGGGTGAGCTTGGGTTCTGTGGTGCCAATCAGTGTAATTAAACCCTTTGGCTGGTGAGAGTACCAAGTGTGGAATAGAAACAGTCCTGAATGAGGAGTAACATTGGGCCAGTGCTGCAACTAGTTCTTGTTATATTGCAACAGCTCTGGGTTGACTTGCTAGTATACCCAGAAGTTTGCAGACACTGAGGATAAGGCCAGGATTAAGATTCAGAGGGATCCACAGGCCACTGAGGGAGAACAGGCCATTCAGCTAGTTCTGCAGGGGCCTGGCAGCCGGGAGTTTTATGTGAGCCACAGTTCCATTGTTCTAGGCTGCAGGGAGGCTCTGGTCTGTGCTAGGTCATAGAGGTACCAACAAATGATACATGGCACCTACAGGGTGATACCAGGCATTTCACATTCCCACTGCTTGTTTGTTCCAGTGGCTGGCATGCACAGGCTATGTTCATGGGTTTTGGACTGGTTGAGCCCAGCAAGGATGTCAGGACGCTACTGATCCCAGGGTTCTGCTCCTCCATGGGAGGCACCAAAGCCACATGGGAAGGGTGTACCATGGTTTTGCCCAATGCCTATATCCCATCACTGGGATGTGTTTGGGACTGAGGTGGGCAGCAATAGTGAGAGGACTGTGTCTTCTATGGGACCCACAAAAATACAGTTTGTTCAGGCAGTCTCCAGCTGAGCTACTGGCCCTGTAAGACAACATTGTGTTGGTAGACCCAGGACCCAAAGTTCTAGGTCTTAGGATCCAGAAGTTTTATGCTTATGCAGGCCTTTGATTGCTTGTCCAGTCCCATTTCCAGCCAGGACCTGTGTGTTTCAGCTTGAAAGAATAATGATGGTAGCCAGTTCCAAGCTGAAGAATTACCTAGTAGATCTCTGGATCACAGAGACCAAGCACACATACAGGGGTAGGAACCTGAAAACCTCATCTGGGATGATGGTGGCCTAAGCATGCTCTGGATCCGTGTATCCTATTATGCTGCTGCTGTAGTTCACACCCAATCACCTCCCTATCCCACAGATAGTGTCACCAATGGAAGCCCCTACGAGGTCCAGTTTGTGGAGCAAGGGCCGTGATCAAGGGCCATGAGCAATCAAGCTTGTTGTTCCATCACCAAGAGAGAATGAAATGTTTCTGACTTCCTGAGGTACGTCAATCCTATGGGCTGTAGTGTTAGGGCAGTGACAATGGGATTCCATTGTATGGTTCCTCTGGTTGGGTCAATGATGAGACCTCATACTGTCTTGAAGAGAGATGACGACTTAAAAATCATGCTCAATAGGATTACGCTGAGGCCCAGCCTAGTGACAGTGGTGCAGGAGGACAGCAGGGTCCCTATGTGCTTTCCCATGCAAGAGACACTGTGGAACTTAGGCACCCAACTGGGAAAACGTCCCAGGCAGCAGATCTGCTCCCGCGGGATCTACCAAAGTTTTTTCCTCCTTGGCAAGGGTGTGTTCCCCATGGGCTGAATTGTGGTGCTGGACTGGGGCTCCATCTTCAGCTCCTTTCATCCTCTTGTGCCTTTCAGTGAGATGTGCTGCCCATCAGAACTCCCTTGTATCCCACATCCCAGGTGAGTGTACAGCGAGGATCATGGGGCCTCTGGGCAGTATCTGGGGGTCAGAGCACCTGTCACAAGCACAGGATGTGGACCTATGGTGAAAAAGGATGGACACCTCTGACTGTGCTCCAGAGCCGGCTATACCCCTTTGGACTCTGAGATATAGAATGCCTTGCACGAACCCACGGCCTGGTTCAGGGGCCAACTGAGAGTTGGCAATGGATCCCGGGGAAGGGTTTAGTGAGGCTGTTGGCTTCCAATTCTCCTATGTGTACTAAAGTGGGTATGCATTGCCTTGATCTTTTATCTAGGAGTTGGCAAAACTTGGGATTACATGTCTTTGTTAGGAACTGGCTCAGATTCTGTTGGAAGCATGGGAAGGGGATAAAAACCATCATGAGGGAGGGTTGATGGGAGAGCTGACTCTGCAGGTGCCTGGTAGCATGGTAGCTTCACATGCCTGGTAACATGGTAGCTGAATACTAAGACACAGCACCATCAGGCAGTATCCAGTCTGGGGATTCGGACACTTAGCCTAGGTCACCTGAATGGTGGTGCCAAGCTTGTCCCATGCCTGGCACTTGCCTCATCCAGGGATCAGCTTTCCTTCTCACATGGGTGAGCTTTGAACCGAGGTGAACTTATAAGGACATGGGGTCTGTCTTGGTCCCGCCATCCACTTCTCCATGAGACGCACCAAAGCCCCACAAACGAAGGATCCATGTCTGGGCTGATGCCCCTTCCCCATGTTTAGGATATGTCCAGGACTGCTGAGTACAGACACCATGGGAGGAAGGTATCTTGGAGTACATAGCTGGAGATCCTGGGAAGCAGGTTGTATTCACACCCACTACCTTAACACACAGGCCTGGCCTGGATAGAAATGCTGAGTGAGTCATGGAAAAACCCCACCAAGGCTTCCTGTGATGCATCTTATGCCATCGGTTCTTTGATATCAGGTGCATGGAAGCCCCTTCTAGTCAATACCGGGTCCTGGGCCAAATTTAGGATCGAGGTAAGAAGGGATTTGGTGTTAGCCACTTCCAGCATGGTGACACAGTCTGACTTGCTCTCTCTGACCCTGTGACCAAGAAGCCCAAAAGTTTCAGGCAATGAAGTTGTAGCCTGTGCAAACCAAGATGCCCACAGAGGCAGCCTCCTGGAAACCTCACATGAGCTGATTAGAGTCAAAGCTCTCTCAGATTCAGTGCACCATAGCCTGTTCTTGCTGTCTGTTCACTCCCAGCTCACTCCATGTGCACAGATGAACAGATCCCGTTCAAGAGCTGTGGACAAGGTGCCAGCAACCAATGAGCAGCCAATGAACAATGCCAGCCATGTTGAAGAAGGAATCGTCGAGGACTGCCTGAGGTAAGCCAATATTAATAGGCACTATCAGTGGGATTGCTTTCAGAGGTCTTGTTGTTTGTTTCTGTGGGTTGGGTCAATGATGAGACCTCATACTGTCTTGAATGAGATGATGACATAAAAATCATGCTCAATAGGATTACGCTGAGGCCCAGCCTAGTGACAGTGGTGCAAGAGGACCTTGGGTACCCAGGTGTCTTCAAGGTGAGTATCACTAGGGACTGGAGACTTCAGGGACTCTGGATCATGGCCTCGACACAGTACCCTACTGGAGCTGGCTGCTCATGCAGGGTGAACCCATGCTCCATCTTCCTTGGATTTCTTGTGTTTTCCCCACTGTCTGAGTTGTCGGACCATACTTGGGGCTCCTTAGATACATTTCATCCTCTTCTGTCTTTCAGTGTGAGGAGCTGCACAGTGGGGAACAGTTACACCCCAGTTTCCAGGTGAGTGGATAGAGGGTGTCCATGGGCCTGTGTGGGCAGCAGGGGTTCTGTTGAGTCACCAGACATGAGCCTCTGGGTTGGACCCATGGAGTCACAGAAAGGCAGACTTGGGCAGTACTCTTGAGTGAGCTGAGCAACTTTGTGTTAATATCTGGAAGAACTTAACCTGCAGAGGCCCATGGTTGCATTGCTAGCATGGCTGTAAATGGGCCAGCACTAAGGACCAGGCAACTTTTTGATGGCAGGGCTCTGATCCCAATGAGGGCCATACAGATACCACATCAAGCAGTCAGTGAGTTTCATGGAGCAACTGGCTCTGCAGGTGTCTGGTAGACAGGGAGCTTCATGTGTGTCACAAGGCCACTGGAATCTAGGGCCCATGGACTCTCAACCTAGTATCTTTTCAGAAAGGTACATACCCAGGCCATGGAAGCTGCTTGGTTGGCCTAGTCACAGATCATCCCCTGTGCTTGCTTTGACTAGGGGCTGGCATTCATGGCCACATTTGTGGGATTGGACTGTATTGAGCCCAACAAGAATGCCAGTGTAATACCTAGGCCTGGGCTCCCACTCCTTCATGGGAGGCAACAAGCACCATGGTAAAAATGCACCATGGCCCAGCTCGATGTCACTACCCCGTTATCCAGACATGTTGATACTGTGGTTTGTAGTATCAATTAGAAGTTGTTTCTACAGATACAACCTGATCTCTCAGAATCCACTATGCTTTTGCAGCTTGCACCCTTGCACATAGGCTTGTACAGCAACCCTGTGTTAGTAAGAGAAAGGCCCTATGAATTACCCGTGGATATATTTTCCAGAGCATGTATTTTGATGCTTTGATTGGGCAGTTGCTTGATTGACTAGCCTGGGTCCTACATGGATGTGAGTCTTGGGGGCAAGAAGTATTTTTGGATTTAACCTCTGCTCTCAAGAAGATCCTGTCTGAGTCTTTCTTTCTGTCCCAGTGACCAAGGCCCCACAGTTTTGGGTGACATGGGCAGAACTTGCCAGTGTCAACTCCAGCTACAAGATGGGCTCCTAGGAGGACTCACCTGGGCCAACGAAGCCAAAGCACACTGTGGAACCAGTGCACCCTTCCATGGCCCTGCAGCCTTTTCACCCCCATTTACCTCCTTTTACCACAGAAGATGTCAGTAGAGGAAACCAAGGGGGCCCAGTGCCATGGGGACAAGGGTTCTGGTGTATATCTAGTTGCACATTAGCTGGGGGTGTCATCCCCATAGGTGTAGGAAGTGTCTGGGACTGCCTATGGTACACCAAAACATCCAGGCCATGGAGTTAGTATGGATATAAGGGGTACTCTTGTGATTCCTGGTTTTGGGTTGATGATGAGACCTCATACTGTATCGACGTGACTTGATGACTAAAATTCATGCTCAATAGGATTGCGTTGAGGCCCATCCAAGTGAAAGTCAGTCAAGAGTATTCCAGGGTGCACATGTGCCTCAAGGGTGGAGAACCTGAGTATTGGATACCAGGAGGCCCCCCCAGGCCAAGTGTAGTCTCCAGTATTGAGTTTTGAGTGCTCCTGCTGGAACCATCTAAGCTCCATCCTCCTTGAACTTGGTGTGTGCTCTCTACTGGCCGCTTTGCAGGGTAATGCAGAGTCTCTTCAGCTCCCTGTGCTCCCTTGTTCTTTCAGTTAGATATGCTACATGGCAGGTATCATAGTGTCCAAGGCACTTGCTGGTATGACTAAGTGAGTTGACAGTAGGATCAGGCCTCTGTGTTTGGGCAGGCCTCAGTTCCTCTATAAGGCTCATATGGATGACCACCCTAAGTGTAGTAATTTTTTGGAGCAGCTGGATCTGCAGATATCTGGAATCCTGGTAGCTTCATGTAGGTCACAAGGCTACTGGAGTCTAGGACCCAGGGACTCTCAGTTTGATATCATGTCATTGGATGTCAATAATTGGCCCATGGCATCTGTAGGGTGACTTCAAGGACACCCCTTTTCTATCCCTTGACTCTTTTTTTTGACAGGCAGAGTGGACAGTGAAAGAGAGAGAGACAGAGAGACAGAGAGAAAGGTCTTCCTTTGCTGTTGGTTCACCCTCCAATGGCCGCCGCGGCTGGTGCACTGTAGTCGGTGCACCGCGCTGATCCGATGGCAGGAGCCAGGTACTTATCCTGGTCTACCATGGGGTGCAGGGACCAAACACTTGGGCCATCCTCCACTGCACTCCTGGGCCATAGCAGAGAGCTGGCCTGGAAGAGGGGCAACCGGGACAGAATCCGGTGTCCCGACCGGGACTAGAACCCGGTGTGCCGGCGCTGCAAGGCAGAGGATTAGCCTATTGAGCTGCGGCACCAGCCCCATCCCTTGACTCTTAATAGTGCTGGTGTTCATGGATCATGAAGAATGACTCAGAATAATGGGCCTATTAAGGATGCCAAAGCATGTCCTGTGCCCATGTTCCCACTCCTCCATTGGAGACACCAAGGCCCCTTGATAGAGTTATCCATGTTCCATCCTAATGGCCATAACCCATCTTTGGGGTGTATATTGCATTTAGATGGGCTGTGACCATCAGCCAACAATGATTCTGGTTGGCACAGCCTTAGCTCCTAGAATCCACTGTTTGCCTGCATCCTACAACCATTTGCCCAGGCCTATACAGTGACCCTGTGTTGGTAGGCACAGGGCACCATGGGTGTTTCCTTGGGTTATATTGTGAAACCAGTCTTCCGATTCTTGGGCCGAGCCCTCACATGCTTATCCATCAAGGTTTCCATATAGGCCTTTCAGGGTAGACCCATAGGAATGCACACCTGGATGCTACCCCCAGTCATGAATGCAGTCCCTAGGAAAAATTCTTTATCCTGCTGGATCCATCCAAGCTACTTTTTCCTTAGGCATGGTGTATGATCCCAATTTGCCAAGTTGTGGGTATATCTTTGGGCACTGCTTCTTCATCTCCCTTCATCCTCTTGTTTCTTCCAGTGCGATGTGCTACCAAGTGGTAGCATCCACATTTGCATCCTGGTTCCCAGGTGAATGGATGGCATTGGTCCTGTGTGTTGCAGTTGGGTATCATGGCTGATCACTCAATGCAAAATTAGGGATGTACCCTGGGAGGCACCAGAAGACAACCTGGGGCTATGCTTCTCAATGAGCTGTCCCTCTGGGCTCTGGGTTTCTGAACACTTTTCCTGAATCCTTGGAATGGTGTGGGCACCTGGAAAGGAATGAAAAAAATTCCTGAGGGAGGACCCTACACTTCCAAAGCCACTGTACCTATGGAGGCTGTAACATCTCTATGTTGCCTCTTGGTATAACCAACAGTATTAAGACACTAGGGATCTCAGGCCGGCGCCGTGGCTCACTAGGCTAATCCTCCGCCTTGCAGCGCTGGCACAACGGGTTCTAGTCCCGGGCGGGGCGCCGGATGCTGTCCCGGTTGCCCCTCTTCCAGGCCAGCTCTCTGCTGTGGCCAGGGAGTGCAGTGGAGGATGGCCCAAGTACTTGGGACCTGCAACCCCATGGGAGACCAGGAGAAGTACCTGGCTCCTGCCATCGGATCAGCGCGGTGCGCCGGCCGCAGTGCGCCAGCCGCGGCGGCCATTGGAGGGTGAACCAACAGCAAAGGAAGACCTTTCTCACTGTCTCTCTCTCTCACTGTCCACTCTGCCTGTCAAAAAAAAAAAAGACACTAGGGATCTTGTGTATGGAAGGTGCAGGTTTCATCTTCTTTAAGAGGTCTGGTTCGAAGACCAATTTGATGATAGGAAGAACGTTTGACCTGATGGTGCCTCTGCAGGTTTCTAGCAGCCTGAGATCTACAACTGGGTTGCAGTGCCCCTGGAACCTAAGATGCATGGACTATCAGTTTGATGCCCAGTGAGGGAGCAGCAGGCATCTGTGTTATGGTTCCTACAGGGCCATAGTACAGTTCAGTGCCCTTACTCCAATGTGGGATGTGCATGTGACTCAGTAGGCAACATCCTTGGGGGAAATTTTCTTTGGGGTCCATAGCCTGAATTCGTGGGTTCCAGTGTGAACTTAGATCATGCACCTGAGCCTCCAGGCCTGGACAAGGATACAGTGTTGGTAGGACCAGAGCTACTTCTGAGATTCCTTTGGTGAGACACTTGCCACTATTCCTCTGAGATGTACCAGTGCTAGAATGTTCACCCAGAATACAGGCGCAAAGATAGTCCTCTGGGGGAGCTAAGGGGCACTGGGACTCCCAGGTGAGTGCATGGCAGGGACCATGGCTTCTTTGCTAGGGATCTGATTGTCACGACGGGTTATCTGTGGTCAAAGGCAAGCTGTGCCCATTTGGGCTCTGAGGTCTAGAATATATTGCATGAACTCCTGGCCTGGTTTGGGGGGCAATTATGTTATGCCAAAGTTCCTATGGGGATGGTCAATATTTGGCCTGTGCCCTGTCTTTTTCTACATGAGCTGCTGTGGCTCTGGGTTGTCTTGCCTGTTTGAAGTTGTTGAACTCTAGGGCTCTGGCCTCTGTGTTTGTACAATTTTTAGGTTTCCTAGGATGACTCGGATGAGGACACACCAGGATAGGGACCAAGGTATGGGGCGGGGGGGTACCAGGCTCTTTGTTGCTTGGCTGCCTGGGAGCTTCATAGGGGTCATGAGGTCTCTGGTGTCATGATCCAGGGTCTCTCTGGCCAATGCCCAGTTATGGGGGTACCAAAACCTAGGCAAGGATATGCACT